TCTGTGCCCATATCAAGGAATGGCACAGGATGGTTCCATGATTGTACTGGTATGGGTGGGTTCGTCACTTTTTCATCATTTTTTACTAATACCGGAAACTTGTCCAACTGATTCCGCGGGTATCAGTTCGGAGACCCCCAAAATGGGTTCCGGTAAGGCCAATGTGTTTCCAAACATCGGAAAAGGTTGTGGGGACTGTGGGAATGGACCCTGTTTCGTCAATGACTCAATGATTTCCAAAAACATTCTTATCTTTCTTCACTCTACTGCTATAAACAACAGGTCAATAAACATTAGGGCATGTGTGAAGGCGAAAACAGGCCAGTTAAAGTTGTGTACTCTATGAATTCATACCTATTTGTCACCAGTAATGGTATAGTAAATCCTGTAATCGGCGAGCCCATACTGTAGTATATAAGAGAGGCAATCAATACGTATTTGAAACGTTGCTGACGTAGAATTGCCACAATGTGGTGGAAAAAGCGCATAGGTATGACTGGAATGCATCCGAGTAGAATCAGACGAGTAATGTACTATAGTAGGACTGAGCGAAGGAGGGGAAAGGGACTAGAAAGGCAGCAAACAGTCCCATTGCAGTATCAGTCCCAGACTGGTTGAATCCTTGATCTCTTTGGGTAAGTTACCATTAGGGTAGTCGAAGAGGGTGAAATACTTCCCTATACTTCTGGTTTCCTTCAATCTACTATAGGCAAAATAAGAGAATGCCGCCTTAATCGTTCTGAAAATTTTAAAAACTATGTCCACATCAGGTAGAACGGACCGATTTCGAATCCTGGCGTTTTCCTTCAAAATTATATCCATTTTTATCAGATTGTATTCAGCATTTTTCCGTGTGGGTGGGTATTTTTCTACTCATCGAATCCCCGGATGACTGGGAGAACTCATTACCCTTTCGGCATGTTCTCCTGTGTTCAGTGGAGTATTGACGACAATTTCAATAGCTTTTTATTGACAGCTTCAAAGTGGAAGTGGTAGATGCGTGTACCGGCTATGCCAGACAGACGACAGCTTTCAGATAACTGGTTTTCCTCATCCTTATCGTCTTCCCTTTGCATGGCTGGCACAGCTGTACTCCTTCCAAGCTCCTTCCCTTCTATCGAGTGGGTTCTCGGACTGTGGAACATGTCTGTTTGCCTGAAGGCCGATATGGTACCGAAATTGAACTCCCCTTCTTGATTTAGGGAATAAGAGTGGATCTTAGATCAAGTTTTCATCAGAAGGCTGCTGGTAACCGGCTTCCAGTGGGGTTCAGAAGGGGATGGTGGTTTTCTGAGTAGCTCGCTTTGACTTGTTGACAGAATGTTGTTATTAGAATTCAAAATTCTTATTTAAATTCAACTTTAAACTTTGTCGATCGATTTGCGATTTCGATAACCTTATTTTTCTGGATAAGTCGAAACTAGAAAATAGTAATTGAATTTCTGACATGGATTTCCATTGCTTCACGTTCGGGAAGGTTCCTGGATGGATCGAATCTCGTCGAATCAATTATTTTTGTTTTTCAACCGACAAAATTGTTGCGTAAGGTGTTAAAGGAAGCCTTGACCTGGCCGTAATTCTATCCGTTCTGTACATTTGTCACTGTAATTCGTCGTTCGTTCCAGTTGAGCGAAATGCCGCCGAAGACAAGTAAAAACTATTCGGACGACGACAAATCGAATCGAACGAGAAACCATCTGCTTTCTGTAGTCAGTCATTCGATGACGATCAATAGCCGATAGCTGTTCAGAGCTGTCTTGAAAGAAATGATCCAAACGAAAAAAAGGTTTTACCAAACATCTCAGTAACAGTTATACATAAAAATATATCGTATACAAGCTTGACTATGAGCGCAAAGTGGCCACTTTGCTTTTGACAGTGATGATATTGAGAGAGCAGATGGGTGTCATCGATGGGTGTCGAACCCCCCTCGACGACTGTCACAGACAATGGTGACGAGAGAAATGGACGATGCAGCCCCTGGAGACAACGGTCACGTCACCCAGGTAGCCGCCGATGTCCGCCGCCAAGATGGTGGTATTCGTTAGCATAAGTAAGCGGAAACTGTAAGGGTGTTAATAGGCTGTGGTATCTACAGATGAGCTCATGGAGACTAAGTGAAATATGGTCGGCTATGGGATTGTGAATGATGATGATGATGATGATGATAGTAACGACCCGGTGATGGAATTAGATGCCGGTCTGAATGGTCTTCTGTGTGTGCGTAGCACGTTCTTCGCCTTCTTTGTTGTAAAGTGAGGTGACGACATTGGCACCGATACCCCACGTGTTTTCAGCTTCGAATACCAACGATTCTGGTGGGTTGTTGATACCTCCCTGATCACGTGCATAGATCTGAAAACAGCACATAAAAGGAGTTTGGTAATGGGAGGTGACTCGAAGAGAAGCTTTGACAAACCTTCATCGTTTTGCCGGCCTTCAATACGGTATTGGGAGGAATAGTGAATACGATTTCGCGTCCCTTATCTAATTTTCTCTTCAGCTTGTGCTCACCCAGATTCTCATCCTGAATCAAAAAATTTAATAGAATAGCACTTCGCTCATTCAAGCCAATAAGCAAAGCCATGCGAGAAAGGGGCGGGCCGATCTCGAAATGGGCGGGGTCTCCACAACCAGGAGATGGAGCTTTACCTTATGTTCTCAGCTTTGTGTTCTTTATAAGATTCCAATCTGGGTTACTGTGCTCCTAGCTAACAACCAAGTAGGGATTCAGTAGGAATACGTCCATATAATGAATAATCGAAATTTTTTCCCCAAACCCTTAATATCGGATGTTGTAATGCAATCGAGAAAAATGAAACCGGTGCTGAACAAATGAATATTTTCCCATGTAATAGTTTTTTAGGATCACGGGCAATTGCTTCTCAGATGGGAGACTGAGTGGATACACCGCGAATGAGGTGAAACCCATGAAACCTTTTCGTATTGGACATTGGGCATCGAGCAGAACGGGCAAGCTTTTTGGGAAGGTGAGTTAGTTATACATGAACTACTTTTGGAAAGTAAATGAATTTCCAATCTACTTACCTTTGTTCTATGAGTATTCTCGAGGGTGATGAATTTGCCATTAGGGTCGCATTCGGCAATGGTGACATTTCCCTGAAAGTAGTGATTTGTTCAGGAGTTTAGAATACCCTGATAGGCCAGATCTGGGTCAGCCTTGGGTCTTTCCATCCCCGCAGAAGGTGAGTTCAAAGGAATGGGACTGTTGCTGGGCTAGAGTGATAGAATCAGGTATCGAGCTAAGAAAAACATCGAGTGTATTCCTTGTGAACTACCATACACTCCCTTTACACCCATCCCCTTCCCTCCCTATCGATGGAAGCTTCGAGGAGGCTGTTTAGAGATGGTATCAGAGCGTTCATATCCATTTATAACCAGGTGTCCCCTTTGTCGTTCCATCCCCCTCCATTCAATGAGTAGGGTCAGTATTGTGAACGCTGCAGCAGATGGTTCTGCTGACACAGTCCCCTGGAACGTCCTATGGGGTATTTCCAGAGGACGTTTCAGGGGACCGTGCTGACGGAATCATCTGCTGCAGCGTCTACCCTGCTGAATCTGCAGTATACCATGGCTGTGGGCAGGGGATTCCTGAAGGTGTGACCGAAGTCAAGGTCACAAATCGTTGACGTTGACGTACCTTTGCAGAACGTTGGAATGTGGTCTTGGTGGAGACTTCGCCACGTACAGAACGTGTCGAATCGGTATCTTCTTGTTGTTGCAATGAATGTGTCTTTACAACCTGTTCGACCATTTGACGTAAACCAACACTGAAATTATTGGGAAAATGTCATTTTAATCTATTTGATTACTGTCATCAAGAAAGTCTGTATTGGAATACGAATTACACAATAATATTGGTAATTAGTTCATTATTCCACTTCGTTCTGGTCGATCGGACAAAATCATTCGTTTGCGAATAGGAATGGAAAAAAATTGGAACGAAGAAGACGATTGATGATTCCGATTGACGGAAGGATGGCAAAAAAGTGACAGATGGCACTTGAAAAAATGGAGTCGTTGCAAAGGAAATGCCCCGTCATCTTCTAAAAACCCATGGAGACCGATTGCTTTGGGTGAACCCATCCCCTAGTGGGCCTAGCTACCACTTGGGACCGCTTGTTGAGTAACAAAAACCTTTTGGAAGACATGACAGTCTACAGAAATAACGAGTTACTGAGATCTGAGGACTAGAGGGTTTAACTGAGTCCTTTCCAACTACGAAATGGACCTAATGACACACCAAAGTCGGATGTTCACTCACCGACTCTCTTCTCCTTCCAACATCTTTCTGTAGATAGCGATTTCCGCATCCAACATCTGTTTGGTATCGAGCAAGGCTTGCAATTCGGCAACCTTAATTCATCGAATCTTACTCCAATTTGTAGTAAAATAGGACAGGTTAGATGAATGATTACTCACCAATGTCTGGCATTCCTCACGCATTCGGCGAAGAGTAGCATCACGATCATTAAGGGCCATTTCGTATTGTCGTTGATCATCGCTAAGCTGAAAAACATGCCATTTGAAGATTATTTTAAAAGAACGCAGAAAAATTGACAAGAATTTCAACTCTGAGAGTTTGTAAGCGGAGTAATTCAATTTAATGATATTTTCTGGGCAAAAAACAGTTTTGGATCGCTGAATTCTGTAGAAGTCGCCTACAAAAGTGACACTCGCGCGAAGCGTCTGCTGCGGCTGCACTAGGGTCACAGACGTTATGTTACGTCCCCCCTACAAAGTTATTTGGAACTTGCTCGCAGGTCGTGCTTCTACTTAGCCTTTTCAAATTGTAATGCGTTCAGAAGTATGGATCCTTGCTGAATTAAGCCAAAATAGGAATATAGCCAAATAGCCAAACCAGCTAGTTTTGTTGCCGCGACGAAACCGCGAGCATGCTTGTAATATGTGGAGAAAAGGGAGAACACTTTTTGGAGAAAAGGGACTAAGCTAGAGGATTATAGAAGTCGATTTCAAAAAAAAGTAATTAAGTGGACATGTATTCGATAGGCTAGGAGGAGGCAGAACGAAAATCATCTGCTAGTGGTTCTTCCGAAGTTCATAATGGAAAGCTCAATGAAAGAGTCCCCTAAAGTCAACCAATTGTAAAAGTAAATTTCAGCGACTTTTTCTTACTTTGTTGACCAAAAGTTTAGTAATTTTTTGAAAATTTCAAAATGATCTCCTATAAGCAGTCTTCTAGCAGTTTCCGATACCTACACATGGGTTTGGGCCTTTGCGTCAAATCCGAGTCAACTAGAAAGTACCATACCTGATAGTTGAGATTCTGTACTTCCTTTTCAAGCAGTGCGTTCTTATTTTCGAGATCGCCAAGTTTTCCACGAAGATCGCCAATATTGTCGCGCATTCTTTTCACCTCCTCGCGTTGGTATGTCGATTCCATAGCAGCACGATTTGCTGAGCCTTGTACTTCGGACACCTAAAGCTCTCAATAAGGACCTATGCCAAGAAAATTCCTTAGTCAGACGACATACCTTGAGTTTGTACCAGCTTTCCATATCCTGTTTACCCTGTTTAGCAATGTAATCGTACTCATCCTTGATATCCCTGAAAAAGGAAAATGTCCATTACCTAAATAAGACCCCATAGAAAACAATTGGCTCATACCTGATGGCCAAAGCCAATTCATTCTTGAAGAATTCACGGGTATCGGCTGGTGCTTGTGCGAGAAGTGCCTGCAGCTCCTTGACTTCCTGTTCGTGGACTCTGTAAGAGGGAATTTTCCATAACTGTCGAGGGGTTACTTGGGATCGGGTCATCTGTCAAACGTGATGGGCCCTTTATACCGCCCTCCAAAGGTACGGTATGAAGGTGGGTCGTTTCATACCTGCGAAGGAATTCGAGTTCCTCCATAAGAGTTTGTACTTGGTTTTGGAAATCAATACGGCCAATAGTCTCCTCATCGAGATCCTAAATGGAAGAAGGGATTAAAGAGATGAAAAGATGATTCTGGAATGACTACCGTACATTTCTGGCTTTTTGAAGATCCTCCCAGATTCGTGCATTGTCATTGTTCAAACGTTTCTCCTCATCAGTAAGCTGCTTCCATCTGAACAAACCTCTATTGGGAACCATACAAAATAAAAATTTCTATAATTTTTTTTACACTTTCATCCGTAGCTTCATTAATTTGTTACTGCTATTGATCGACTCTACACTAAAATATTTTGTGTAATTGAAATTTTCAATCGATATTACCTAGCACGAAGCATCTCGAGCTCATTTTCCGCATCAGCGATCGCATTCGTCCACTGAGCGATTTTCTCTCGATC